TTCCCTTTGTATTCGAACATTATTACATATAAAAAATTACAGATTTCTCCATGTCTTTATCCCAACCATGTATTAATCTTTAAATACAAACATGAAAAAAAATCTAAAAGGAAATAGTAAAATTATTGAATGTCAAACCTAAAGAGTGGAAAGCAGCAAAGCACTTTGTCTTTTTATTTCATAATTCAGGACAGGCATATTAACGTCAACTCGGTCTCTCTTGTAGAGGGGCTACTGGCCTAGCCCAATACACCTGAACCTCTGAAGGAAAACAAAATGAATATACCCACAGACTGGGCAGTGTTCCATTAATATATCTATACACAAAGTGAAAACCATCAACAGCCTAGCTTAGCTAAACTCTGCTTGGTGATCTGTCTACTGTGCCCAGGGGCGGACAAACAGTGCAGCCAACATGGAATAGCTCTTAGCACATATCAAAGCACCAATATTTTAAGGGAAACATAAAATCGTAAAAAGAAGATAAAACACAGGTACGGGTGTTCTGTGCTGCTAAACAGTTGGAGGACAGTTCTGTACATCTAAGTGAGCAGGTTTAATATACACACCCTGGTTCTGACTGATTGATAGGTGTCCATATGATTGTAGTCAGGTACGGTAGCTACTAACTGCCTGTAATTGTAGCTTCTGGTTTGAGGTGAGTGCAGCTTGTAGCTTTGATCGTATCCATCCAGCCTCGACTGCTCTGCGTACACCTCATGGTTCTGTGAGAGACGATGTATAGGAGTCCAGATATATTAAGGTATCCAGATATATAATCTCCCTGCACTTCATAAGAGACTTTACCATATTTTCTCTAATGTGTGTGTCTTTTTCTACACACTATATCCATGTCCTTTCTCTGACTGGTGGCCACATCAGAAGAGTTAGCACTTGCAAGAAACAAAATGACACAAAAAAGCGAGAAATGTAACTGCTTGTATTTGTGCTCTATTCTTCTCATGCTGTGAAATCTGTGGGTTGGCAGGTCAGGTTCCTGTACAACTGACACACAGGTCACCAAAGGTCAAGGGTCAAAGGGCAGCTAGATGACCCCAAAGAGAGAAGGTCACCCAAAGAGAGAAGGTCACTGCCAGTGCCAGTTAGAACACATAGAAATGTTAACCTCTAAATAAAATGAAATAAAAACTAAATATATGTCAGGGTAGTCATAGAAAAATATGTACAACCAATAGAATAGTAAACAAAAACATCTACTTGTATATGTTTGTTGCTAAAAGGTCAAACAACCTTTTATTTCCCTGTACAATAAGGTTCATTTCAACAATGCAAATACATCAGGGTTTTTTTTGCCACTATTTTATCCTGCCAAATTAAAGAAAACATATTGTGGCAGCCTGTGAATTGTATCTTGAAGTTGCAATGTTGTCCCCCTCCCCCAAATAAGATAATGACATACAGGTACTTAAAGTACCCTTTCTCACAAAGGATGCACATACAAGTTAAAAAATGCAAGCTTCTGTAGAAAGACAGCAAGTGCCTACACAGCCATGAAGACTACATTCCAGAAGCAGAATACAGATACCTGTCAGTATTTTACTGCAAAGCAATAACAATGTTCCATAGTTTCTACGAGGGAAAATTTCTGACGTTATGCAGCTGGCCACCCCCCCTTCCAAGTTTGTTACAGTTCACTTTTTTTAATGAATTTATTTTCATTTTATTACACCCAAGGCAGAATAAAAGTTACTAAAACTTAAGACTTTTACAGTTACAGTGACAAAAACATTTTTAAAAAGACCCACAATTTAAATTGGACTCCAAAATAAAAATAAAAAAACATCTTTTTTTATATTTTTGTAAAATGCCCAGGCATTCTCCAATATTACAAATACTGGTATACTTTTACAGTAAACAAGAAAAATGTCATATATATATATATATATATTTATATATATATATATATATATATATATACACTAAAACCCCATCACCAAAAAAACAATATACACATCGCCACCATGGCATTCAGAGAAACTGTATAAGCAAACATACACACAAATATTATTTTACCCTTGTACTTGTTTCAATACTGTAAACGTATTTTAAGACAGAGTGCACTAAATTATGTTTTTGTTTCTGCAGTTCCTGATTTTTAGTCCAGTCTCTTCCTTGACTATTGTGTGACATAACAATCCACTCTGGCCATGTTTCTAGGGATGCAGTCCTGACATAACAATCCGCTCTGGCCATGTTTCTAGGGATGCAGTCCTGACATAACAATCCACTCTGGCCATGTTTCTAGGGATGCAGTCCTGACATAACAATCCACTCTGGCCATGTTTCTAGGGATGCAGTCCTGATTTGAAGAATTTGATATATATCTATATAGGTTTATGCATTTCTATGTACATATGTATACATATATACACACACAGACACATCAATGTTGTGCTGGGTACTCCTAACCTAAATGCAGCTATGTTTTATTTTTAGAAGTAATATCTCTGATATTCTATTGAAATTTCATAAGCAAATTAGAAACTAAGTTGACATAAATTTGATACATTGTTTTCATTTTGTTCAAATCCTTTGCATCACAAAAGTGTTGCATTTGTCTTGAGAGACGGTGAATAGGAAGATCAGTATTCAAGGCACACTCATGTCAAATTGAATGGCAGTACAAAAAGTGTCCCAATAAATTAATTTTCATTTTTATAGTAACAGTATTGGGAAAGCCAAGCTTATAGCAACGCTGGCACTTCAATATCAGCTGATCCCAAACTCTAGAACCCTTCACCCAGGCCGAGTAAATCCAGTCAAAGTAATTTTTTGCTCAGAAGCCATATTTTCCATTGTATTTTTTATTTATATTTTTTGTGTGTAAAAAAATGATTGACAAATCATAATGCGGGTCAACTGCAAAGAGATGTTAATGTTTTTCTCTCTTTTTTTTCTTCTCAATGACAGATTTTTACCTCAATAAAACATTTTTGCTTGGATGTCAAAGGTCAACTTGAGAGGGTTGGACAGGGGTACATTATTCAAAATAACAAGGAGTGGTGATTTGGGTAAAGGTTGGTGCTTGCTGAAGACCGAAAAATCTTTCCTAAAAAGCTCACACAGCTGTGCATTCTGTGTGTGTCAGAGTTGCTACTTCTTTCAGAATGCGTTCAACTACACATCACAGGGAGCCCTGAATGAGGAAAGAAAGAAAAAATAGTCTTACTGTTTGGGCACACGCTCAACAGAATTCTACAGACACTGTTTGTATCTATAACTGTGCAATTTACTGGTCTGCATACCACTAAGTAACTAACTGCCACTGGTTCTGTCTCACAGCGAACTAGACCATATTAACCAGAAGAAAAAGATAACATCAGAAACATTTTGACTATGGCACACTATACAATAAGACTTTTTACTATACAGGTATAAATTCATTTTTTCAAAATGATTGATAGATATTTCTAGAAAGAAAATGCATAGGGCAGTGATATCATAAAACATTGTCACTGAATGTATGTAGAGTTAATAATAATATAGAATTACATTTTAAGGTACGTAATTCTCATCTGGTTAAAACAGTCCGCTTTGGTTGTGACTACTACCACCACCCAGCCCCTTCCTAAAATGTTGATGACATATTACTTTACCAAGAGAAACATTAAATATGAATGATCAAAACAGAGAAAGCAGAGTTTAAGAAGATACACCTTGCCTACAGTATGCAGTTTGAAATGACTGCCAGGTATGGCACTCTGAGTGAGACTGAGGGTGATGAGACTGTCTGTAATGCTACTCTGTGCTGAATGTCCGATAGGGAGTTTGTAATAGTGCTGGGAGTTGTAATAGTCAGCTGGCAGGAGAGTGAGACAGTGTGTATCAGAGATGAGGGACGGGGGATTGGGGGGAGGGTATAATATATCCCATAATCTGTGGGCACGGGCGATTGTGTTAAACTCATCCATGGAATGATAATGAAGGGGTGAATGATATCATAAAGAAGAGGGAAGAGACCCCTATAGCTCACCCTAAGATCTCCCTGCTCTCTCTCGCTATAAAGCTCCGCAGTTTAGCCCGACGGTTTAGCCATCCTACAACTGTGTGATAAAAGATAGAAAACATCAGTATGTGCATTGTCATAGCATTTATGTTATGTTTAGTTGGATGAATTAGGGTGAGTTTAGGAGGAGCTGGTTTAGATGCAAACAGTGTGAGAATACTGTGATTCTATAGAAATACACAATGTCTCTGTGTTTCTAGCGTTGTCTGTCAGGGGTGGGTACTAGGTACAAGTAAGCAGCTGCCTTTGTGATCATCTGTTTCTTCTTCGTCTTCTTTCTTTTTAATTTGTGTATTTACTCGAGAGGAGGCAGGGTTTGTGAAACCCCCGGATCCTCTTTAGATTTACTGTCATAAATGACATTCAGTGCTACATATCCAATTAGATTGACATGTTTAAAGTCAGTTCATGCTACAATGCCAAAGGATTGTTGTCCGCTCACGTATATCCTATCATGTATAACAAACAAAAAATAGCTTTCTCAGTTATGCTTAAAAACATTTTTGAAGGTTAAATTCGGCTTCTCTTCAAGAAATTACAAGTTTAGTTTAAATATACAATTTTCTATAAGCAGTGACCTAAAGATTATTCAACTGTTTTTTTTCTCTCTGCTAAAAAAATCTCAGGATATCCCAGCAATTAACATAAAAAGTTAAACAAATTTAAAAATGACAAAATAAAAATGTACATGCCAAAATATTACAAAATCCAATAAATACAGAAATTATTGCACAGTTAAAGGCTCCACAAATTTTATCATTTAATTAATCCTCTGATCAACCGTTAAAAAGGATCTTTAGCCAAATGAGGCAGTTTAGACCGGCTTTAATTGGTGCTGTTAATATCTGTTTGTTTGTTTGTTTAATTGTTTTTCTCAGTTGGCAGTTTCTTAGGCAAAAACATAAAATTAACCCAAAATGCGATATTTAAGAAAAAGAGTATCCAGCTACCCCCTTTTGTATTTGTTTGTTTTTCAAGGTTGTGGCGAAAGAGGCAAAATAGGAAAATCTGGCTTAGCTTCTCTCTGTTCAATTTTAACCTCGTTGGTCATCAAATGTTCCCCATGCCACTTTTTCATGTGTTTCTCGAGAGTGCTGTACACGCTGAAGGGCATTTGGCAAATGTCACAGCGGTACACTTCCTTACCCATCTGCCCGTGGGTCTTCATGTGGCGTGTGAGCTTGGAGCTCTGGGCGCAGGCATAGTTGCACAGCTCGCACTTGTAGGGCCTCTCTCCTGTGTGGCTGCGCCGGTGCACCGTCAAGTTGCTGCAGTTCTTGAACACCTTGCCGCAGTACTCGCAGGTGTCGCTCCGTCGGCTCTCCTTGGAGCCGGGCCGGCCGGATCCCAGGCCCCCCAGGTGAGGGGTGCTACCCCCGCTGGCTGTGCCGCTGCGCCCTGACAGGCCACCGTCCAGGAGGTCCCCGGGAGGCGTGGAGAAGCGCAGGCTGCCGTTCTCAGACGAGTGCTCGGAGGAGGTGCCGAAGGGAGATTGTCTGGAGTCGGTGAAGCCCAGGAAAGGGTCTTTGATGAAGTGTCGTGAGGCGGCATATCCCACCAGCCACTGAGAGTAGACGTTCTCAGAGGGGATGAGTGGTGCCGGGGGCATGTCCAGGTCCTTCTCGATCTTGATCCTCTTGTTAGAGGAGTTGGACAGGCTGGGGCTGGTGATTGGTGTGGGCTTGCGGGGGAAAAGGCTTGAGAAAGAGTTGCCGGAGCCACAGTTCCTGCCGTTAACAGTGGGCCTCTGGTGATCCCTTTCCATCTGGTGGTGATGGTGCTCCCTCTCCATCTCTCCCACCACAGAGTCCTCGTCCCCAGTGTCCCGCTGCTCGTCGGACCCCCTCTTAGAGACGGGCATCCGATTTTTACGATTGTCGACTATCAAATTATTGTACTGCTGTATAGTGCTCAGGCCCACGTTCTCCACCATCTTGCCCAGGGAGAGAGAGTTCTTCTCGTCTGGCGACGGCTTGGAGCCGTTTTCACGGTTACGGTAGAACTCCATGTTGTCCATGCTGAAGTTTGACTCCGGCCTGCTCTCGTTCTCCATCTCCTCTTCCTCCTCCTCCTCTTCCTCCTCTTCGCCCTCACCCCTGAAGTCTCCCTCTCGGTTCTTCATGCCCTCTCCGGTCACGTCGCTGGTGCCCGGCTCCGGGGAACTGGTGGTGGAGAGCCCGTCGTCAGACCTCCCTGTCATTGAGCCAGACTTGTGCATGTGTGTCTTCATGTGTCTCTTCAGCTTGCTGGCCTGGGAGCAGGCATGGTCGCACAGCTGACACTTATAGGGTTTCTCCCCGGTGTGGCTCCGCCGGTGGACCACCAGGTTGCTCTGGAACTTGAAGCTCTTCCCGCAGAACTCACATGACTTGCTCTTGGCCTGCGTCTGGGGTGGGGTGGTGCTGTTGGGGGGCATGGGTGGTAGGGGCGGGGTGCTGTGAAAGGGTGACTTGGGGCTTGGCTGGAAGGGGTTGGGGTTGAGCAGGCGGTGCATAGGGTTGGCCCGGCTGGGCGACAGAGGAGGGGTGGCCACGTTGTTGCTCCCCGCCAGTTCCCGGAGCCGCCTGGAGAAGTCCATGGACTGGGCCTCGATGGCCATGGGCGTCAGCCGCATCACCCTCTCGAAGGCACTGGGGTGCTGGGAGATGAGCCCCATTTCCTCTGCACTAAGGCGTTCCAGCCGGTGGGGGTCCAGGTGGTGGCGGGGCAGGGGGCTAACGAAGGGCGGCGTGTTGGGGAGGCCTCCGCGGTTCTCCAAGAAGCCTGGTGGGGGCTCCCGGAGCAGGGGCCCAGTCATCCTCAACAGGTGGAAGGGGTTGTTCTCTCCCAGGAAGTTGGTGAGGGGGGACTGTGGGATGGAGTCCTGGCCCATGGGGGGCCCAGGGATGGTGATGCGGGGGGTGAGCGACGCACTGGAGGGGTTGGACTCCAGGTAGATGCGGATGCCATGGCTGTTCTGGGCGTGCTGCAGGAGGAACCAGGCGCTGGGAAAGGGCTGCTTACACGTGGTGCAGATGTAGCTCGAAGGCTCGTCCCTGCCTCCTACGACACAGGAGAAACACACACAAGAAAGAAAATCATAAAAACATGTTCTTCAAAACAAAATATTTTAGAATGAATTCAATGACAGTAACTTCACATCTATCTGAGGAATAATATTGAGATTTTTAGTGGAGTGTTTAGTGGTATTTGGTAGTCAGTAAAAATACAGCAAGTTTGGTGTTTCTGTATGATGAAGCTGGTGACTGAGTTTGTATTTCTGTTGCCATATTTCCTTACAATAAACCAATTTCTTACGTATGGGCAGTGAACCAACTGAAACACACCTGGATATCTGATATTTGTAGGATTTAAAGTCATTAGTGATAAACATGGTTGTCACCCGGTCATGTGTTGATTTATACAAAGAGAGGAACTTTGCAGAGAGAGAGCCGTCAGACAGACTTTTGTTGTCCACTTCATATATGCCTAATACATCCAGTGGTGGAAATAGTCTTTACACATCATGTTGTCACGTAACAGGGACATACTGTACTTATCATGCTTTTGACAAGCGCATTTCCATAGTCACTGTGGATTGGCAGACGTGGTGGGAACACTGTACCTACCAGTTTAAGTGCTCTTTAATCTCTCCTCCATACAAATCTCAAAATTATTACACCATGCAAGTGTGTTTTGGTGTTTGTTTTGGTGTGTGTGTGCGTGTGCGTGCGTGTGTGTGTGTGTGTCTATCTTTAAAATCCGGGAAGCCCTCCAAGCAGAGGGACTTTAATCATCACCGAGACGGCAAAGTAATATGGCTCTATGCTGAGAAAGTACAACTTAAAGTGTGATTTAAGGAACTCTCATTGTGCCTCGAGGGAACAAATAAAAAAAGAAAGGAACGAGAAGAACTAAATAAAGGCTAATATGTATTAAAGATAAATGACTGCTAATAAAGAAGGAGAACGGTGATGGAGAGACTGAAATGGAGGAGTAAATTATTACTGGTCTTAGGGTTGTTATTTGGTATTTAACTGACATCCACAGGGTGCTTTGTGTAATTCTAGACACACAAATTCAATCCATTATAGCTGAAGATACTTCACAGCGTTTGAGAAAATATTTGGTGAAGTTTTAGGTTTTTCTACTGTTACAGGTCTCCCTCGTAAAAGAGGTCTTCTGACCTCAACAAGACTTCCTGTATAAATGAAGGTTGAGTACAATTTTAAAAAATAACAAGAAATGTATAACTCCTTTTCTCTGTGTGTGGTTGTTCAACTTTGCAAAGGAAGAGTCACTTTAATGACTGTCCACACACATTTAGACGGCTCAAATATTGACTCTGTCATCATGGACACTACAGTATAACCAAGACCTCCCAGGTTCACGTTCCTACATGAGGCAATTCCACCCACAAAGTCAGGACAGAAATCTAACAATTCAACCTGCACAGACAGACAGACTCTATCTATCAAAGCACATACTGTATCTTAGGAACTAAAACCCAAAACTGCTCTGTCCTGTTTCCCTCAGTGATTCCACTCATATCAATAGGGATTGGAAAGTGTAAACAGAGCTATGGCTGCAATCAATTCAGCACGGCTCAAGTAGGGAGGGAGAAAAAGAGAGAGAGGGCGAGTGAGAGAGACAGACAGACAGACAGACACAGAGAGAGAGAGAGAGAGAGAGAGAGAGAGAAGAGAGGAGAGAGAGAAATGAGAGAGAGAGAGAGAAGAGAGAGAGCGAGATAAGAGATAGAGAAGATAGAGAGAGAGAGAGGAGGAGATATGGTTGGAGGCCTGCCCACCCTGATGGGCAGAGAGGAGAGGAAAGCAGAGCAGAAATGATTCCTCCATACCTCCTGTATAACCCATATGTGTGTGTACAGTATGTGTGCGTGTGTGGTGTGTGGCGTGCGTGAGTGTGGTGGCTGTTTAATTGGCTGTTTTAATAAATTCCCACAGTAGTTTAGGTATGGATGAATATAATAGATAGAGAGAGAGAGAGAGAGAGAGAGAGCGATAGAGCGAGAGAGAGAGAGAGAGAGAGATGAGAGAGAGAGCTGCTCTAGAGATAGAGAGAGCTCTCTCTCAGATAGAGAAGGCCGGTGCGTGATAAGAGTTTCTAGGCTCTGGTGCTTGGCATAGCTTTGTACCTTTAACAGTACATAACTAATTGAAGGCCCAGCCCCTGTGTTACACATGCCGGTTGGGTAATGCCAAGGGGACTCGTTACCGCGGCGACACAAACAAGCTGAATATTCAGCACATACAGTGAAAATGGATGCTAAACACAGACTGCCACGTTCCTATGGGGGACTGGTGTAAAACACACACACACGTATAAGTGGGAAATGGTAATTGTGCTCAATTATTAAATGAAAGCTTTCTGTTTTGACCTAATGCTCCAATTTAGAGTACAGACGAAAACATAATGCTGCTGTAATTGTTTAAGTATTTGATTCAGAGGTTTGTGCCTGTGTGTGTATGTACATTAAGTATGTCTATACTCTATACACAGAGGAGCAAGAATAATAATAAATAATAATAATTTGGTGGGTGCTTATATTTGTCCTATTTCATATATTTGTGTGAACTGGAAATGTGTGAACTGGAAATGTGTTTTTTGCATATCCCAACTCCCCCTGAGACACTGTCATTGGTCCACAGAGTAGAGAGCTCCAGAGAAAGGCTGTATAGGGAGAAGGATAGTCAACACACAGTGTGCCTGCATTGGACATGGCTAGAAAGGATCCAGCTTTTGTCAGAATTCACTTTTCATAGCAGGTTTAGGAGAACTTACGAAGCAGGTTAAGGTTAGGAAAAGGGTTAGGGTTAACAAAAAAAACAAAAAAATTGACCTAAATTTGACAAAAGCTGAATCCCATCTAGACATGACCATCTGCATGGCCTCTGATGGTATGTAGGACATGATGCAGATGTAACACAGATGTTCAACCCAGAGTAGAAGGTCTATTCAGGTCACTGAAATATGATTAGACCATCTTGTTATTATTTGAATAATAACAACTCCTCTCGATACTTCACGAGGGATATGCAAAAACAGTCAATTCATTTTGCTGAAACAAAAAGTTCCTAGCTGCATATTTTCATCTTTAAAAATAATACATTCATAATTCATCATAAATTGTTCATATTATTAAGAAAAAAAATTAAATTGCACTGGTCTTATTTCATTTATGTTAAATTGTGAATCATGCACTTAGTTTAGTAAATACTAACTAGCATGATTATATTTGATTTCAGGGCTAATAAAAGTGAGGGGAATCTACAAACCTGATCAATCAATATGACGCCATATAAACGCTACACTAAAGCCACATAGAACTACTGCTCTAAATACATCTCCAAGAAAAACTATTTCTGAAATCGCCTTTTAAACCTTATACTACACTGTAACGTCCAATGCTTTATAAAATAAAAAAACAGGTAATTTTTCTTTAACACTGTAACATTTGCACCGATCAATTATCGCTATCTGTGATGTCAGCTCAAAGAATGACTCAATCAATCTGTCTGCACGGAAAACGTTTAAACCACGTCTTCACGCATGGCACTTAGTAGGGCTGCATTGGAAATGTCTGGTGTAAAAGCATTTCCCCTGCATTGAGCTGGGATGTAAGGAGATGTTTATGCGTGGCTGTCTGACGTGTGTACAGTGTGTGTGTGTGTCTCGTCTGTTAAGGAGGAGGAACAGCTGCTCACCTCAGTACTGAAGCATGACTGCTCCAGCCCTGGCCCTGTAAACCCTTTGACTTAATTATAGTGGACACACACACACAATGACCCCCCTTCAGGCTACACATTAAGGGCCTGCTGCCCCCCCCCCCACACACACACCACCACACACACACGCTCATACCCACAAACAATCCCCTGTAGCTTCCTTATCCCGTGTAGCTCAGTTGGTAGAGCATGGCGCTTGCAACGCCAGGGTTGTGGGTTCGTTTCCCACGGGGGGCCAGTATGAAAAAATGTATGCACTCACTAACTGTATGTCGCTCTGGATAAGAACGTCTGCTAAATGACAAAAATAAAAATAAATAATAATAATAATAATACACAAAAACACACACATTATTCCACCCCCCAACCCCCTCCATCTGACAACAACACCCCTCCCACATTTCCCCTCTCTTGTTTTATGGCCGAGTCCTTTTCAAAGCCCTAATGCTCCATAAAGGAAACACTGGAAAACTACCAGGGCCTCTGCTTTTAACACCTGCCCCTGTTTGCCCTCTCCCTTAATTTCTCTCTCTCTTCTCTCTCTCTCTCTTCTCTCTCTCTCTCTCGTCTCTCTCTCTCTCTCTCTCTCTCTCTCTCTCTCTCATCTCTCTCGTCTCTCTCTCTCTCTCTCTCTCTCTCTCACACTCCACTCCACTGTACTGGCTGAACTTCTTCAGCACACAACAAATTTCATTGGGGGCTGAAGGTCAATAAATGTCATTCATTTCTGCCCCACAATTAAGCGGGAATGACTGTCCTCCCCTGTCCGGGATCCTCTCCCTGGGATGGTATTAGTGCCCTCTGATGGAGGGACGGAGGGATGGAGTGGGCCGTGAGTTTATTGAGGATTTTTCAGTGTGTACCCTTCCAGGGGGAAGGAGTTTGACGCAGATGGCAAATAAAGTATGCAGCCCGAGGCCAGAGCACATTATGTTAATTCTAATGTCAGCTGTACTTTAATATACAGCTCTATTTAATCACCCCATTATTTCACATTTCCATATGAAAAAAAGGGTGAGAGCGGAAAAACATGCATCACTGCTTCTGCCTCTCTGCTCTCTCTCGCTCCTCTCAGCCGCAATCTCCGCTCTCTCTCTCTCTCTCAGTCACCTCCCTCTCTCTTCTCTCCTCCTCCCTCTCTCTCTCTCTCTCGTCTCTCACTCTCGCGTTCTCTGGTCCAATCTCTCTTCCTCTTCTCTACTCTCTCTCCTCTTGACCGCCAGTCTGCGAAGCGATATCGTTCCTCGGAGAGTCTCTGCCGCTCTCTAGCTCGTCTCAATTTCCCTCTCGTCATCCATTTCTCTCCGTCCCATCGTCCGGCCTCCTCTGCTCTCGGGGTAGTCTCTTCTCACATCGCTGCGGTCGATCGTAGATAGCCAGATCCTCGTCTCATCTTCTCTTTCTGGCTCTCTTAAGCTCTGGGTCTCTAACTCTCTCGGGGCGCAGAGTAAAAAGCAAATTATGCGCCAGTGCTCGTTCTGGTCCTCGTATGGCATCACGTCTCGTCGTCGTCTCTCGTCGCTCGTTCCGGTGTCAAGTTGCTTCTCTTGGCCTGCACTAGACTATCGGGTCAATCATCCATCTAGACACGGGGTCTACGGCGAGTCTCGTCTTCAAATCTGCCCGGGAAATCGTCAGGCGTAAATCCGAAGGGGGACGACTGCCCGTCCGTCAGCTGGTCCTGGCGCTCTCTCAAGGAGCTGCTTTTCCTAATACGTCTGCCTCTTCTCGTCTCTCCTCCTCAGCCTTGCGCGCTTATCATGGGCTGGGGGGTCTCTCTCGCTTGCTCAATCGATGTCG